TTAACCACCCAGTCCTTAGCCATCATTCGCTTCCTCATCCGCCGGTTAAACCCAAGCTGTTGCATAAGATCCCAAGCCCCCTTGTCATCAACCGGCAGGTCTGTGAGGATGCGCGCCATCTCTCCTTGAAGTTCTTCTGCAGCCCATGGCGCCGAAGCCATTGCCCTGAAGCCATCCTCGAACTTTCCCTTGGCGACATAGTCCTTGAGGCTTCTTTCCCAAAGTGGGTCTAGCTGAACATCACGAGCTCTAGCCATGGCCTGCTTGGTCACCTCGGTGTTGTGGTTGAGTTGCACAACCTTTTCTTGCTCGATCTTCGCAATGAGCTCCAAAGCGGTGGCCTCGCTGACCTCCGGACATCCCGAAGTCACCCTCAACACGGTTTCCATTCCTTCTGGAGAGCGAAGGATGCACTTCTTCTTTGTCCAAACCAAATCGTACCCGAGAACACTCACCAAACTTCCCAGCGGTAGGATAGTCTGTGCGCTCGTGGACTCAGGCCCCATCAAAAGAGTGCCTGAGGTATTCTGCCTCATCCGCTTGACACCATCCCCGGCAACCACAACGTCCACTTCATCTGCCTTGCTCCACTCCGAAAACGTCGCCGTCCGCAGAGGGTGAGTTGCACCTGAATCAACCAAAGCCATTCTTCCCTCATAGTTCTTAATCACTTTCTTCAATATCTTCATTGAGGGCCCTGGCCTTGTCGACGTCTGTTGATCCGCCATCATCTTCAAGATCTGAGTGGCATTCTTCAAGAAGTCGTCCACATCTCGCACCGACGACGCCCCATCACCCGAAGCCGCTGCCGAGGAGCTTGAGTCTGTGGACGCCCCCAACGAACCTGACTGTCCTCCTGAGGTAGAAGGCACCGACGTCGAGACCTGTGGAGCTGCTGCTGCGGGAACTGTTCCATCATCTCGCTTATTTTCGGCACCCTTCATATTCTTGATCTTGGCCTGTGGGTTAAGGCATCCACCCTCTTCACGACGGTGCTGCTCAGGTTGTCCGGATTTCACAGGACAGTTCTTTCTCATATGTCCCTTGCCACCACAATTTTTACAACGATCACCGCGTTCTTCTCGAGGAATATTGTTCCAGTCATGTGAGAACTTGCAGTTAGCGCGGTGACATCCTGACTCTGCAACGAAGAACTTACAGGGCTTCTGATTGGCTGCAGAAGACGACGATGGAGAACCCGCCCCCTTTGGTGAGGTACCAGCGCCAGCCTCAGCCCCGCCTGTTCCCATCGCCTTCACGGTCGGAGTTGATGAGGTTGTAGTAGATCTCGTGCGTCCTCGGTAGGCTATCTGTTCAAACTCACCCAGCAGATGGGTTTGATATTTGACCACTGACTGCAACGTGGGCGCTGAATCCAGATCCAGACTGTACCTCAACATGTTTGCTCTGAACGCCACTTCGCCCTGCTTCTCCAGCTGCCCCTTTGACGCCTGGTCTATGCCTCGAAGAAGAATTGAAGAGTCTGGGACCTGTAACCCGAGATCCTGTGCTCGCTTCAGCCATCTGGCCCACCGTCGCAAGGACTCTACAAGCTCCATCGGCGACGTCGCGGTCCCCGGCTGCTCCAAGGCCTTAAGCACTTGCTGTCGCTCCACTGACGACCCAGGACGGTAAATTGTTAGGATGCGCGCTAGGATTGACAAGGTGGTCTGCAGCCTGTTCGCCAACACCTCCGTCCGGATGTTCTCGGGGATCGCCTGCAAAAGCATGGAGGCTGCCCTCTTGTCGACCCTCAACCACTTAGCTTCCTTCAGCATGTCTGAGGCGAAGTCATCTGGTTTCAACTGTAGCTTTCTTACTGCGGGTGCGTTGATGTACTCCTTGTAGTAGGCTTCCAACGACAACAACACTTGGGTCCACCACTGCGCGCTGCCATCTGTAAGATCACCCATAGGTCCGCTCAGTCCATGCAGCCAATCGCCAACGTTGATGGCCGCCATCTCGTCCGCCTCGCTCAACTTTGGAAGTTCGGCTGCTGTAGTTCCCGGCCTGAGGCAAGGCCTCGCTGCATTCATTCCAAGCTGCATAGCCATTGCCGCCTGCAGCTGGGTCATCCCCTGCACCAGCGCGTCCAAAGGATGCTGAGGAACCCCTGTAGAATTCCTACCACCTTGTTGGTAACTCGCTCCCGCATCACCTGGATCGCCTCGACGCTCACCATCAAGACCAGGTGGAGGACCACTGTAGATGCCCGGCTTAAACTCAATAGGACCACTGTAGATGCCCGGCATATCAAATAAATTACGACCCCCTTGCTCACGACCGTGTCCCGGAAGTCCTGCAGGATTACCTCCGAAAACATTGTCTCTAAGACCACAGCCGCCTCGGAAGTCCTCTCTGTTCCTGAAAGCGGTCCGGTTCGACTGCTCTGGACCCATATTGCCCTCCGAACCTCCATAGCGATTTCCAAACCCCAGAAGATTCGTACGTTGCGGGCTTTGACTCTTTGCTCTTTTATGCCCCCCTTGCTCACGACCGTGTCCAGGAAGTCCTGAAGGATTACCTCCGAGCGCTCCATGTTGAGTGAAGACTACACCTCCACGAACATCCTGCCCCTGAAGTCCTTCTAGAATTCCTCCTGATACACTAGCATCATGAGGTAGAGGTTCATCGTCACGTCCTTGCTCAGGTCCATGTCCTAGTAGTCCAGGTGGATTTCCTTGAGGTACCCCATGAAAGCCCAAAGCCCGATCAACTCTAAGCCCTTTATCTGCACCCCAAAGTTCAACTGGATTGCCGCCACGATCATGTCCCTGAACATTTCTTCCACTTGTACCCCCTTGCTCACGACCGTGTCCAGGAAGTCCCGCAGGATTACCTTCGAGCATCTCTCTGATCTGCTCCGCCTGCTGGTGGGTCTGTTGATCGCGAGGAGGTCCTTGCGAGGGAAGTTTAGGTGATGGCGCCGTCGAGGACATCTGGTTGGTCGCCGCCTCAGCCTTCAGTC